ATATATCAATAATCCGTAGAACCTATATTCTGAATACAGTAGACTCAGACCAATTTGTAGAATATATATTCTACTACCCCGTAGACGGTAGAATTTGATTTCTGAAAAAGGTAGAATAGAAAATTATTTTCAATTCTAACCATATTTTTAAAATTAAAAAAATATACTTATATTCTTTCCAATGACTCTTTTATTGTTTTGAATTTTTCTAATTTTTTTGGCTGTTAAAACTATTTTAATGATTTATTAGAAATGTCAAAAGGGCAAATTAGGTAAAAATAGAGAAAGGGGTAGTAGGACAAAATCAAATCAAATTTGACCCAGTTACACAATTTTCCCTAACTTTTTTTTGTTTCTGTCACAAACGCACTTCAATATTGATTAAATAAATACAACTCAATTAAAATATAAAATCAACTGCAATATAAAATTGTGTATGAGCTTCAACTGTCACAATATTGATAACTATTTATTTTTCTTAATTTTTTCCACAAACACATCTAATTATCGATTAAATAAATACATTTTCTGTATTATGAAACCAATAAGAGACAAAAATGTCGATAAAAGAGAAGATCGTATTCCTTATACGTGCAGTCTTTGCTAGCAAATCCGCCCTCTTATTATTCTCTCGTTGCCGGTAGATGAGTTCGAATTAGAGGAATGATTCCCTAAGTACCGCTACTTCGCATAATTCCAGTTGAAAACAGGCCAATCATGTGGTGATGTTACCATATTAATGAGCTCTTTGGAGTCCGTTGCGAAAATGAGATATCGTCTTTTCCAGAGTAAGTATTGCATAGCCCAAATTAGGTTGTGCAACTCAGTGTGAAGTGGTGAAAGAATCTTCCTGTTACCATGAAGCCCCACCAGATCGGTGGTTCCATCATGTAACTGAAGCACTGATATATATGTCATATTTTACCGATTTTACTATGATTTTTATAGGTTTTAAATAAATAAATAACTCGGTTTTGGCATTTAATTACTATTTTTAGTATTTTCGTGGGTTTTAAAGCCAATGTAGGTAAATGGAGTAATTTGGGTCTAAAATGAGCAAAAACAAGTCTTTATAAAAGAAATACAGATCATGTCCGTCAGATGTTTTACCTCGGATGAAGATGCTCCCTCCGTTGGATCGATCTCAAATTTTTCCATGAGATAGAAAAGAATCGTATCTTAAAATATCATATTTATTCGGGGAAATTCGACGGTTCGATATGAAGATACGCTTAGCTTACGAAAAACAGTAAGATTTTCAAATCTTCGAAGAATATCCCTAAATCTCTTGGGATATACCTTAGCCGACTTCCTCACCTAGTTAAACACAAAGAGGCCACGAAAATCAGCACCACCATCATATCCACCACTATAGTTACTCTTTTTCTTTTGAGAGAGAGCATGTTTTTATCGAGTTTTTACATATTGATTCAAGAGAGAAGAACTCCAATCTTTGTACCAGCAGAGAGATGCATTCTGAACCTTCTTTATTAATGCAATTTTTTCATTCTAATCTTTCTATGATCTTCACTTCCATGCTTGAGTAGCTTGATTGTTGGGTTAAAGGGGTCTCAAATGTAAGTGCGAGAACTGGTGTAACAGAGAGTACTACAAGTACTAGTACAGGAAACGAACACAATACACAAGGGGTTCTTTTCTCCAAAACGTTTTACTAGATCAAACGGTAAGTACAATTACAAGTTTCACTTATCAACTTCAATTCTAGCCTCACGTGTTCACAAATCACACATGATCTTGTGAACCTATCACTATCCCTTTGATCAAGATCTTTTTTCTAGACAATCTTAAATCTCCTTTGCTAAGAAATATGCTCTATCATTGTGTTAACTGCCCTACTAGGCTAACACATCCTATTTATACACAATAGAAAAATGCTGCTAACCCTAGCCTTCAACTCCAAGTCTTGATGATCTCAAATATTCAAGAATATTTTCCCTTTCCTTATTCTTAGCCAAGAGATAAGAAAAGATCTTCAATGCTCTCCAAGGTACTTCTCCAACTCAGCTCTACGTCTAGGCTTGTCTTTAACACTTGAGCAGCTTGGTCCAACTCATCTCTTCAAGCCCATGTAGCTTTAAGCTCAACATAGTCTGCTTGTATCACTTCCTGTAGTACTTCGCAATTGATACTGGACACTGCTTCAACAGTTACACCTTCATGTTTCACATGTTTTACCATCAGTTTCTCAACTCTTTTAATGAACATTTGTATCAACTTTTATTTAATTCTAATACTCATTCAAATCTAACTTTTCTTCTATAATTCTCACAATTTTTTGATTTTGTAACTTGAAGTTGTGTTTAACTGTTCATTTACCCTGCTTGATTCGGCATTTAATATCTTTGGGAAATCATACTTTTACAAACTTTTACGCCCAAACTTTAATTTCAAAGTTATCAATCCTCTGTTTAATTACTAAGTGAAAAAATCTTATATCACTCAATCAGAATTTTAAAGGACACATCAATTAAACTAACTAATCAAAATATTCTAATTAATTCTATATGACATGTTGGAAATCTCTATATATTTGCATTAATTTTTTAACATGACCTCACAAATACATATGTTACTTATTTTAATCCAAATAAAATAAAATATTTTAATATATAAACGTTATATAACATAACGATGAATCATTTATTGATGTTAATTACTTTATTAAAATTATATTTATGTCTATTTGGATATCATATATGATTGATCATACAATTATTTTTTTTTATATCGCTTAATTGTTTTCATATTACTCTAATTAAAGTTGCGATTTTGTTATAAACGTACAATTTTACAAATCTAACATTAATGGTTGAATTTCGAAAATCA